GGTGTGGCCTTCAGCTGCCTCCTCCGGGCAGCAACCCAGGCACAGACCCCGCACGCACGCAGCCCCCCGCACAAGGCCTTCCACCACCACCGGCGTGTGGCCCTGAGCGGACACCAAGCATGGACACAGGAATCCCGCAAGGAGCGCCCTTTCCCTAGGGTCTCCCGCTCACTGCCCAACACCGAGGCATTTCCAGCCCCATCTTCTGTGGAGATCCCACCACTCAAGGCGAAGGCCAGGTTCTAGAGACCTTGCCCATGCAGTATAGATTGAAATGGGAAAAATAATGGTTTTGGCTTCAGTCACTAGCCATGTTCAGATTCTGGTTTAGGGTTAAAAAGTCCATTAAGTTGGATCTAGGAAATCAATCCGTGTAGACCTCTGAGGGGCATCACTTCCTGTTTTCCCCCCAAATTAGCCGCTTCTCCTGCCTTCTCTCCTCCTCACTCAGACCCGGACAGAGGCCTCCTCGTCCCCGCGGTCGGGGAAGGGATGGTGTGTGCCGTGGGAGGACTCCGGCAGTAACCATCGTGTCAGGCCGCTGCCGATGCTTGGCAGGGACCCAAGGCCCTCCCGCCCGTCCCCCCCGTGGGAGCACCGTGGTCATCCCCCCGTGTTGGCCTCTGTCACTAGATTCAAGCAGGTACCATGCAGAGAGGTCAACCAAGAGAAGGGACCTTGGCCTTGAATCCCACAACAGGGGGTTGGGGTGGAGAGTGATGGTCACTCCCGAGACGGGACACAGGGGTTATCTTTCATCCCATCAGTCTGTGAGCCCGACTCGCCCACACAACTCAGGGGACTTACGAGGCTTGATCTTCACGAGACAAACCCCCTTCCTACAGGTAAGGAAGGTGGGCTTTGTGAGGCGGGGAGCGGTGTGGCCACCGAGCAGCCCCGACTCCCATCCCAGCACAGGGGTGCATGTGAGCCAACGTCGGGGTCTCAAAGGTTTCCTCCAACGGGGGAGTGGGGTGGGGCGGTTACTTTAAAAATACTTTGCTTTCAGAGCCGACCAGAAACCAGGAGCACTCCGCAGCAACATGGTAAGCATGGATGATGCAGGAAACGGAGGGGCACCCAAGAGGGCGCCCCGTGCCACGGCCCAAACAGAAACCGGGCATCGCACACGGGTGCGACACTAAGGGTGACTGGTGTTCTCCGGCTTCAGTGTACAAATGTCCTTTGAAAAGCTGTAGCAAGTATTTGTAATGCCTTAAAAAACGTAAAAAGGAAATATAACTCCCTCCAACCAGAGCAGCACAGCGTCAGCAGAGACCTCTGCAGACCACGGAATGCGGGTGCGGCGGCGCGGCCGCTCTGACCTTCCTGCGGGTCGCCTGTTAGAGGCCATTTCCAAGCCGGTGCTGACGGCAGGGGGGCACACCCGGGGGGCCTGGGGACACCCCACCCCTCGGCGGAAACAACCCGCCAGTCTCCTGGGGCTGGTGGGGGGCACAGTGTTGTCCACGTGGCTGAGACGAGGGATGGACCGCACCTGAGCGGCGAGATCAAGGAAAAGCTCCAAACAGAACAGAAGTGCAAAAAGCATTTTATTAACACGCCTTTCAAATTACAATACAGCCCGAGACACGTCTCGGCATGGAGTCACACAGGTGATACACAGTACATTTTTCCAACCATGTCACTACTGTTCTTCACATGCACTCCTGATAAAGCTGTCACAGGGATTAGCCAAGTGAACACTGGGGCAAAGTGAGGCAACGCATCTCCCACAGTGGCAAGTGTCGTGTTTGGTAGAAAACGCGCAGCAGACCCACCCAGAGGAAAAGCAACTCAGTCAGCGGGTGGTTTCTCAACTCCCAATGCGCTCCCCGCAAACACAGCGCGCGACTCCGCCTCGGAGCCGGCAGACGGCGGCCGGGCAGCGCGGCGCGTTACGGCTAGGAAGGATCAGAGCGAGAGCGGTAACAAAGGGTCAAAGTGGCCACCACCTCCAGCGGAAAAACCGGCGCGCCCCCACTAACACTGAACTCATGCACAAGAGGTCCTGCAAAGTAGAGGCGAAACAAGGGGTGAGTAGGGCAGGGCGGGCACGACGCCGGCGGCCAGGGCGCCCGCGCTCCTACAGGCCAAACTGCAAAATAACAGAAGTCAGCCGTCGCTCTCTCCAGCGGACACCTGGGGGGACAAAGCGTGAGTAAAGACCTGTCAAAGCAAAGGAGGAGATGCACCCGAGCTGAAACACGGAGCAAAACCATGCGGCGTCCTCGTACCCCTTCCCGAGGAGTTCTGGATGTGAGACCGGACAGAGGAGCCAGGAAGAATGCAGCGCCGCGGCAGACGAGGAAGTCCACGGCCCCAGGCAGGCGGGGAGGAGGAGGAGGACATCCAGAGATGAGGAGCTCAAGGAAAGTGATTTTCCAGAAGGGGAGAGGAGCTCTCAGCGGTGGCTGACAGACGGGTTTGGGGAGGAAAAGTGCAAGAGAACAGGAAGGAGGGGGGCACGCGGGCCCCGGAGGACAGAGGCACCCAACGCAGAGAGCAGCAGCTCGGAATGGAAAGATCTCAGGCTTCGCTGTCGTCAAACCTGGAAATTAAAGTGTGGAATTAAAGACGAAGACAGAGAGTTAAAATCCTCACAGAGGAAAAGCGATCCTGGATCCCAGGCCTGTGGAGAGCAAAGACAGATCATCAGCACAAAGGCTCGCTTGCCCTTCAGCTCAGAGGGGAGCCGAGTGCGCGTGTTGCTGGTTCAAACGCCCACATCAGAGCCTAAGCAACACCGCGGGCTACAAAACGGAAACAGTCCTTTAAAAATCAGCTTCCACTACGTGTGCCCTTACGAAGAAAACTAACTTTAAAGGAAAATCATGGCTAAAAGAACCTCGGGCTCTACTTTCTAGAGTATATTACTAAATACAGAATATATTAAAATAGGTCACTCTGCAATGTATTAAAAATTTCAAACTACATTGTTTCTCTTTAAAGGGCCTCTATTTTTCTACATACGTTTTAAAATAAGTAAAATAAAACAGAGCAAAATACCAACATGATCTTTTTACATTTTAGTTGGTTAGAAATAAAAGGGAAAAGCAATTTCTCACTAAAGATACCTGCTCTGCCTGTCTCAACCAGATTTCCTACCACAACACAGCACAGGAGAGAGAGAGTTAAGAGTTTTAAAAACATTCTCTAGAACAGGCAGGTTACAACGTGTAAAACCAATGATCTTCCCAACCACACACTACCAGAAGGAGGTACACCTGGGATCCAATATGAATCAGGGAGTTCTGCTTTGGTTCTAGGACATAAAACCACGGGCGCTTTAAATGATGACAATTAAACAGGTCGCAAAAAACCTTACACAAAATCCGTAGGATTTACTAGAGAATCAAGGCCAAGTGCCTTGGGAGAGTTCAGTTCATATTTACAAATGTCCGAAATAAAGCTTCATTCACAAGTTTTAAAAATAGCTGAGAAGGTTAATCGAAATGCTCATTAAACGTAGTAAAATATCTAAACTTTCCCCTACATGATCTAAACTTGTGGCTTCCTTCATAGGAGGTGGGGCTGGGGACAACTGGCTCCTGGCCCTGTCCCCTCCCATTCAGGAAATTCCTTTTCAGAATAATGTCACTTAAAAATCTGTAAAGAACCAACAAGGGTTCTCTCAGAAGCCCCACCCCCACCCCAACCCCAAATAAATAATAAAAAAGGTGGTGGGTGCTGGGACTCAGTACCTGACTAAAAGAAGGAAAATCAGGTCTATCAGTGAGCCTGTAAGACTCCCAAGTCCTCCAAGCAGGAAGGGAGGGAAGATTCAAAATGACCCCGAAAAGGGCAGCGTGCCAGGCAGGGAGCCCAGAGCCCTCCGCGGAGGGCGGCCCGAGCCGATCGGGGATGCACGTCCTGCCGGCCGGGCGCAGGGGCTCTCCGGGGAGCTACGTGGGCCGAGGGGGCTCAAGGGTGTCCCGCACTGGGCACACAGACCCTACCAAAACCCAACTGTCCGCAACAGGGTCCCTGTCAGTCCAGCGGTCCACCAGCACAGTGAGCTTACCTTCAATTAAACAAAGAAATTAATTAAAAAAAAAAACAACAAACAAACAGAACAAAACAGAAAACCATAAGCCAAAAGAAAATGAAAGAAAAAAGAATGGAAATGATCGGCTCTCAACACCAGCCCTCTGAGCAAGGCCCCACTTCCCTGCGTCTCCAGCCCAGGGGGCCAGTCCGGCCTCCTCCCGAGGCAGAGCTCAAGGCCCACACGGGGAACGGTGGCTCTCGGGATGGGTGGGCGCCCTCCCGTCCCCAGCGAGAGCCGCCTGCGAGCCCTCCCGCCTCCCAGCTTGACTGGCTCACTCCTCTTAAAGGGGTCTGTGTGTCTGAAGTTCATTATAATACTCATTACAACTCCTTCGTTCTGCAAAACTCCCCTCCCCACCTCCCCACCTCCCCTCACACCCTCCAGCCTGGACGGCTCTCCCAATCTCCTGCACGGGCAACAAAGTCTTCTGCTGGCCAAGTAAGGAAAACGTTCTTCGAAAACGGAGCCCTAGGTGCGCGATCTGAGCTGTGTCACAATTCAGAGATACCACAGAACCCAGCGCCGACGAGCGTTCATCCAGGACCAGTACAAGTCAAGAGGAAACAACCCAGTGAAAAGTAGTCAGGAAGCCCCCCCCCCCCCCCGCCAGTCCCCCGGGGCAATGGGTACAGGCACCTACATGGGATGCTGCCTGTCCAGAAGGGGGGGGCGGACCCCTCAACATTTCTTTTGGGGAAAAAAACCAGGATTTCTCCTTTAGAAAAGTATCATTAGAAGGACTTAACAAAGTGGCCGGACCAACGGCAGTGCTCGGAGAAGCGGCTCCGCGAGCTTACATTACAGCACAAAGTCACAACAAGACAATGCAGGAAGGAGTGCCTCGGCTCCACAGAACCTACTGCGATTACCTTACGCGGTACTCTGCTCTTTACTGACTTCAAGCTTCCTGAATTTGGGAACAAATAATACACAGGTCAGGATAAATGTATTGACTTACTACCATCTTTATAAAAATCGAATATACACACAAACACATCAACAGTCATGGACTGCGTCCGCTCAACTCCATACGACAACACAAAAGAACTAACAAAGAGCTAAGATTGTTGCTGAATTAAAGCATTTCCAATTAACATTTTAATTTTAAAAGGTCCGTATTTACACAGTCTGTTAAATGCTTCTGCGTTTCATTTTAAATGCATGATAAAGAAAGAACAAAGATAATGGTTGCAACAGATCTTCTAAGAGGGCTCAGCTGACAGTGCTCTGATTTCACTGCGGAAAGCACGCCGACCACGACCACGGCAATAACGTTACTTTCTAACTCTGCTCCCTCCCTTTCCGGCAGTCCCCTTCGAGGAAACTAGGCTTTGCTCCGGGGCAGTGCCCGGGCGCAGGGAGGCGGTGGCGCTAAGCCTTCTCACCCCTTGGCCCGAGGCTTTCAAGAGCGGCACAGCAAGAGGAAGCCTCCGTGTGTGCAGACGGTTAGAGGACACACACGTCCCGGACACCCGTGTCCTACTGAGACAACGCCAGAAGCAGACCTGAAAGTCGCCGCAAGGTCTGTCTTCAAGGGGGGAGGCCGCGTAGGACTGACGAGCGGACCAGCACCAACGAGGAGGTGCGTTTCTGGGCCGACTCTCCAGAGACAACGCGCAGCCCTTCGGCGTCAAGGCCCAGAGCACCCAGACTACCCCGTTTTACAGCATCAGGTGGTCCTGGGCGATAAAGCAAGTCCACCGACGGAGAGCCTGCCCATGGCCCCGTGTGGGGCAGCGGCCCACGCGCTCTCGAGGACAGCTTCCAGGCCGTCAAGCTCTTCACCTCAACACAGCGCCCACTGGACTGAACCAAACCAACTACGCTTTGAAACCACCTCAGCTCTGCCGTATGTGCCGGTGCCCAGAGTGGCCAGGACAGCCCGTGGTGGCTGGTGAGGCCCTGGCGCGACACCGCCTCCCACGGCATCGCTGGGGCCCCCGGGAACCAGCGAGGCTGGGCCCCTCGGCTGGAGGGCGTTCCAGGGCATCCTAGGACCGTCTGCTCGCCCCTGGCACCAGCCCTTCTGCAAAGCAGCCGCCAACCACCAGCACCATCTTCCGGCCGACCGCTACCACGCACTGCCGCTTCGGGAGCCGCGCCGCAGCGAGCCCCGCGGGGTCTGAACACTCCCCCGCAGCTCGGGGAGCTTCAACTAGAAACACACTAGAAATGTCACCCCGGGGAACAGGACGACACAGGCTCCCAGGGCCCCCAGAAGGCTGAGAGGAGGCGGGCTCCCACCTCGTCTAACTCCACTAAGCAGCCCGAGAGGCAGTCTCTGGCGCGAACACAGCTAGCGGGCCAGAGTCTGCCCGGCCCCGAGTGCTGGCTCAGACGGCCCAGGTCCCCGCCACAATAAACCCACAACAGTGCGCCTCCTTTGTGAGCAGAAACACTGAATAAGGCACTTTTTAAAACATCTGCCCAGGATGAACTTCACTAAAGGCTGCTATACGGGAAGGAAGGGTCTGGCCTGAAGGGACCTACCCGGAACCCCTCAGGCGGGTTCAGGGTGCTACAAACACATGCCAACTGCACTTTGGGCCTGGCAGTCCCTCGCGCCACACTGCACGAGGGGGACCCGCTCCAGTCCGCGGAGGATGGCGCAGCCCTGCTCAAAAGGCCCAAAACAAGTTCATCAATGCGATACCAACCAGGTTCCCAAAGAACGTCTGAGTCACCGAGCCCCTCCGGGATGCATTTAAAACAAGGGAAAAAAAACCCCAGCGGGTGTTCAAGCTCCGGGCCGGCCCTCCACCTCGCATGGTACACACGCACTGTCGCCCGCCTGACAGGGGACTCCACAAGGGCCGCGAGGTGGCCACGCTACGGGCACCTTCTCGAGGCCCAGGGAGGTGGAGTGAGGCCTGCCAGGGCCACTGCCTGACTGGGAAGGGCGCAGAGGGGCGGGAGTCCCCTCCGGCACTGGGAACACACCGGGCGCTTCTGGAGCCGTCACAGGAAGCAGCACCTGCCACAGTCAGGGCCACTTTCAGCCACCGCACACCCCACTGTCCAGGATATGCAACTGTCGGTCGTAACCACCCGCGTTTTAATCTACGTTTTTCCAAGAGCCTTTGGAGGGCTTTCTGAGAAGACAGCGCAAGTTACGCGTGGCCGGGAAAACACCTGTCTAGCCTGCACTGAAGATAAGTGCAACCATTATCAAGTATTCTTTGCTGTGAAAAACTACTTAAGAATCCGTGATGTTAATGTCCCTTCCTGAAGCTAAGTGATCGATCACACGGTACGACCACGAAGAACGATGTCTACATGCACTGTGAGCACTTGGAAAACAAAAGCAAACGGAAACTGTAGTTCTCTGTGCCGACAACAGAACGTGAAGCAGTCTAACAGCAAACCCCAGTCCGCCGTGTCCCCAAGTCCAGCTGCGCTGGCATCAACACTGGGCTGTGTGCCGCTCCGGACAACAGGCACGCAAGGCTGCAGACGGAGAGGCCTACGCTCGCGGGGACTCCGCGCTGCCACTTCCTCGAAGAAACCCCACAGCGTGGGCAGTGTCAGGTCAGCATCTCCGGCCAGACGTCACTCAACAATCAGGGCCACGTTTATGTGGGACAAATCTACCATGTGCCTGTGGAAGTGCAAACCAAGAGTCAGCGTTAACGCGGCGCCTCGCACCGGCGGTCAACTTAGCCGGACACCGGAAAACTGAAGTGGTGGGTCCGGATCCACGGAACCATCAAAAATGCAGACAGACAGAGAAGATCAATACAAAAACGGGGCAGGTGACCCACAGGACAGAAGAGCGAGCCATGGGCGCTCTTCACACACTCCTGGTGCGTCTGCCCAGCAGGTGGGCGCACGCACGCGGACAACACCAAGCCGCCTTGGCGGACAGGCTCTCCCACCCACTCCCACAGCGCCCTGACCACGGAATACACCGGATACCTGTGGAATTTCTGCTGAAATGCTAACGCATGAGCTGGTTCCTTGAACTTAGCTATGGCTTTCCGTTGCTGGGGAAGCATCTGTAAACTCTAGAGAAAAAAAACAGAAATGTGTTAAGAACATGTTGTACGTGCTTTAAATAAGCCCAAACACCCACCATATTTATATGATCGCTTTCACACAAAATTCGAGTCCAGGCTGACACTTGGATCAATGCAGAAAACTCTATCTCCCTGGCAATTTTCTTATCTCATCCAGAGAATCTAACCCAAAACAGTCACTCTCGTGAGTAGCCCCTGGATCCTCCCAGCCTGGTTCGACCGGCCACACAAGCCACTCAATCTTCTCCCTCAACCTCCTTCTCCATGAGGCCCGGTGGCGGACACTCGTGGAGAGTCGCTTCCTTCCGCATGCCCTCCTGCCAGGCGATTGTCTGCAGGGCCCTCGCTGAACTTTCCGGAAGAGCAGTACTCATCACACGGGAGGGAACTGCTGTTTAGCGGCAGGACCGCACAGCTGCCGCTGGGGTAAAAGGAGGCTTTCCTACATCTAGCTCGTCACAACGAGGCACAGCGCGGCCGGCGGCGGCTGTCAGAGCAATGTGGTCACACCGTGCTGAGAAGATGGTTGCGAAGCGACGCTGCAAGTTAAATCTTCGGGCGCTAAAGAACCATTCCCCAAGCCTCTACTCTCTGCAGTGAAAACCAAGTGAGTCTGTGCATAAGACAGAAGGAAAGAAATGATCCACTGAGCGGAGAGGATCCTCCTCGTCTGAAAGGCAAGCACTGGACAGAGGTTATCTCGGGCCTGGTCCTCACACCTGCCCTGAAGAGGGCGCATGGCTCCAAGTTTTCCCTGAGGTCTTGGGATTTAGGGTCTGAGGATGCGGGAGGGGCAGGTCAAAGGAGGAGACCTGTGTGCTCTCTCAGCCAGCCCTTCCCCAAGAGCCTGCTGCCTCCCAAGTATCCAGGTGACGCAGCCAGCTCGGCACGTGTCCCTGGGGGGCACAGCACAGGCTCCAGGCTCTGCAGAGGGCAGGGTACGCGGCAGCTGGAGCCGGACGCGTGCTCACCCCAGGACACACTGCCACTGCTCCAGGGATAGCACAGGACTCGATGCCTCAGTGTCTGGGCTTCTTAGTGAAGCAGGGCAACCAGGGGGAAAATGAAGGTGACACGTGACCCTTAGAAGTGCTGACCTATGTGACTAATTTTAAACCAAGTTTCAAAGATCTACAATGGAAACACGTGGCTAAAAATACGAAGTATTCCGCCTTTCAGTAACCACAGGTGTCTACCAGTCAATGCAGCGAGGAGAGCTTAAATACGCAGCCACCTTCCCCAACGTCACCTGTCGGTGCTTCACGGGAAACGAAACCATTCCCAGGGCCAGCTCCGGAGCGCTGAGCTGTGCACACGGAGCCCTAGAGGAGAAGCAGTCAGCTCGGGACCCGGGGACCCCTCCCCACCCCGACCACCAGCCGGGAGCGGCCCCGCCGGGCAGCGCTGAGCCGGGCCTACCCGCCCGCCGAGCCGAAGCGAGCTCGCTAGAGCACCAGATTCCTCCTCTTCTTCGGGATATAAAAACCGGAAGCAGAAGAACTTTCTGGATGACTTCACTTCTCATTAAGTTAGCAGCACACCTGAAGCACCACAAAGTGGTCTCTGATGAAGGGCATCGACCCCGCCTCCCCAGCTGCACCCTGGGGCGGCACGGCTTCCCCGGCCTGGGAGGGGCACCCCGGGTACTGGACAGAGGCACCTCCTCCTCCAGTGACCTGCCTCGTGCTGCTGTTCCCGCCGCCTGTGCCCCATCCTGGAATGAGGTCAGTTGCTGCAACTCTGGGGCTTGGTCCCGGGGCGGGGGGGGGACACTGTGGGCAAAGAACCAGGCCTCGGTTCATGGCAGAGTCAGCTGCAAATCCCACCCTGTCCCCGAGCACCTGCACAGGGCCCAATGCCAGGCCCTTCCTTCTGGCTCTGTGTGCCTCTGGCCTGCTCTCCTCTCCTCCAGCCACAGGGTCACAGGCACCGAGGCCCGAGGGTAGTGACTGCCGCCAGTGCTGAGACAGACCTCAGGCACGCGTCAGAAGAACTCACCTAAACTCTCCTCTAAACATTTAAGAACTTTATTAGGAACAGACAAGAAAAACTCATTTCCAACCAGCACGTGGGGGGAAGCGAACACTCCAGCTTTTCCCGTGACTCCGCGTTCCCGGAGCGAGACCACTTCCCTCCGTGAGAGGAAGGAACTGTGCTTCTCTAAGTAGCAAGATGCATGATGAGACCCGCGTGGGCAGCTGACCGCTCGGACACCCTGCCCCCACCCTGACACAGGGCCGGCCCCTCCCCGACACGCGACGAACGGTGACAGGCTCCGACAGCCCGCAGCTGGATCCCAGGAAGACGTCCATGTCACTCAGATCCCTGACCTCTCGTTCCCAATTAGGGAAAGTGCCTTCTCCTTCTTGGAAGCCCGTGCGTGTGCGTGTGCGCGTGTGTGCGTGCGCACGCACACACACTCAGATAAACTGCGATGTTATGAAGACACTATCAGGATTCTGTAGCCCTGAAAATCCGTTTAGTCTTCTTCCCCCCGACCTCCAGGGGACGCCTGCCTGGTTCAGTCGGTTAAGCACCTGCCTTCAGCTCAGGTCGTGATGATGCTGGGGTCCGGGGATCGAGTCCCGCATCCTGCCCTGGCGCTCCCCCAACTTGTGCTCTCTCTCACAAATAAATGAAACCTTCGAAAATAAATGAGCTGCTTCCCCTAGCACTTCGGTGATCACTTCAAGCCAAGAATGCTAACAGCTGCTTTAAACACACGTGAAACGGCTGCAGCCCTGACCCAGACACCCGTGGGTGGGCCCCTCTGAGGCCAGCCGAGAGGCACGGAGAGCACATAAGCTTCCTCCTGCGGCCAGCGCCACTGGCCTGTTCTCCGAGCCCAGCAGGACCGTGTCCCCGCAGCAGCGAACAGTACCGACCGCAGAAAATGCACCCTGCATGGCAGGCAGACCCCTTGCCCACCCTCCAGCTTAGCAACAGGCTGGGTCGGGTCCCGTCTGCTCCGCAGTCCAGTCGCTGTCCTTGCTCAGGTCCCAGGGCCTGGGCACACCCACCTGCGGTTGCGCAAGCTGACACTGCTCGTGCTGACGCCAACGGCCCCCGCCACCCGCCTCGGGGCCCGGCTTCCCTCGGCTCCACGAACCTGCCCGCGAGAACCCCTGCGGGCGCGCGCTTCTAAGAGCTCTCAGGCTGTGGCACGGAGCTCCTGAAAATCCGTTCTTCCTCTGAGTTCCTGACAGTTCTCAGGATGGGTTTTTCACAGCACAGCTTCGGAACATGTGTCCACGCCTCTATTTTCTTCCCACCTTGTGGCGTGGGTGCGTGGTGCACCTACACCGATCACAGCCAGTGCTTTCCTTCCCAGATGTCCTCAGCTGCAGGACAGCTGCACTACTGCCGCCTCCAACACTCCTCGGTGGCTCAGAACCAGCCGCGCTCCAGGGCAGACTGAGGCGCGCTCCCGACAAGCAGCGGGCAGGGCCCCGAGGGGCGGACCGGGAGCGCGCCCCCCTGGGGTCAGCACCACCTGCCGAGAGCACACCCGCCCCTACAGCTGGGTTCGTCCTGTCTCGCTCGCTGCCCCTCAAGGGCGACGTGGAGGCCCCCGGCCTCGTCCACCCCTCAAGGTTTGCCAGGGCACGACGGAGAGCGACGAGGAGCGCTGAAGTTCTCGTGCAGGTGACCCGAGTGCGAGGGGAGGGGGCGCTGTCCGAGCGCCACACACCCAGAACCGGCAGCACCGGGACGGGCCCCAAAGCCTCGTCACAGAGCCCGGTGTGGGTGCGACCCCGGCTGCAGGGCGAGGGGCTGCGGCAGCCTCCACAACAGGCTGCCCGGGGCCTCCCCTACTCTGGACCCAGCTCAGGGACGACCCGCACGGCCGCTGGGCCGCAGAGAGAATGTGCACAGCACCGCTGCCCGTTCCCTGCACCGGTGCTGTCAGCGACCATCGCGGCAGGGAACCGGCCACAGTCTCATTAAGTGATTCCAAACGTTCTGCTTTTGTGAAGAAAACTACTTTTTTGTTTTTACACCGCGACATTTCACTTATTTACAGGATCAAAATTTCTCTTCTTGGCACCATTTCAGGCATAACCTACCAAAAGGGGAAGTAAAGACAATGAAGCAAAAAAGCCACAGGTGTTCCAACCAGCCTATGTCCTGACCCCAAGAGCTCCCTTGGCTTCTGGGTTTCAGGACAGAGCAGGAGGTCAGGGTCACTCCTGTGGGAAGCCGTGCAGGCTGCCAGCCAGCAGCTGGGCGTGCGCGCCACTGCCCACAGCCGCCCGGCCCCCCGTGAGCAAGGAGCAGCTGCCTCCCGCTGGGTGTGCCGACCGAGGCACGGCCTTCTCGCAGGTCAGGCTCCAGCCACCGCTGCTTCGGAGCGCCACACGGCTCCCCTGAAACTCAGAACACGCCCTGTACCGCTCACACCACTGCCACCCCCTGGTTGTAACAGGTCTTTCCCTGCTCCGTAGCGAAGTAGTCACATACAGGCCTTACACCAGACCCTCTAGAGAGGCTTCTGAGCACCGTTTAAGGGAATACCGCATTCACCTAGAAGAAATGTGGCCACCCCGTCATGGTCCAGGGTCACACTGAGCGCACCTCTCCGGTTCCACGGTTCAGCGCGACGATTTTCTCTAACATAAAGGCCCAAAGGACAGGGTACCTCCCTGCCCCAGACACCACCACTTGCTGTTACCCGACGTGGACACAAGGTGGCACCAGAGCCCGCCGCACTGGCGAGCTCCACGCAGGGCTTGGGCAGGGCCGCGGAAGGTCCGGGTCACCGGCGCCATCAGTTCCGGGCCTATCCGCACTTAGGCCACTGGGCGAGCCTCGTCGCAAACGTCATTCTCCAATGGGTCATCAGCGTCACTCTCCAGCTATCCAACACTGGCAAGGCCTTGTTATGTTAGCTGCTGGGTTTTTTTAAATTAAGAAACTTGACCTTTTGTGAATACCGTGTTTATAAACTCCCCCTCAAAACCCTCCTACGGGACTAAGACGGGCAAGATGCGAGCTCTCTCTGTTCCCCAGGGAGGAAGGACAGGCCCCTCTCTAAGTGCTCCGTTCATCACGCCCCAGGGAGTTCGGGGTGGATGGAAGGTCACCATCCACCCCATTTTTAGGGTACCCGATGGAACCCAGAGAACGCATTCTCCTCCTATCTTCCCTCGCTTTCTAGCCCAGAACGAGGCATTAAATAATCCTACGTCGTGTTTGTTTGGCTTTAGGTTCCCTCAACCAAACTTCATTTACAACTAACTGATCTCCAATACTTTTCAGAACGGGGGGGTGGGGGGGTGGGGGGAGCCATTCAAGAGATCTATAGGCCCCAAATGCAAAACTCAAAATTCAAGTTTTATGATGGTTAAGACCACGGTGAGTGCCCTGGCAATGGCTCCAAGCAGCAGTGTGATGAGAAGCAGCCCGTGGTTCAGATATGGACCCTGACAACCACGTCCCATGAAGACGCTCAGGACAATTACCAAGACTCCATGTGAGGAAGCAAAGCCATGACCACTGTGGAGAAAGCAAGGCGCCGTCACCCCCCAGCCCACAGGGCAACGGGGACATGGAGACAGGAGACTGCCCACGAGCCCTCACAGGAAACACCAGGCCTCAGAACTCCCAGATTCGGCTCTGGTTAGTCTGGACCCACTGTGAGGGGACCCCCGATTCTCCACCACCGCGCGGGAGACTCTCAGACCAGGACAATCACGTGCTAACGCACGTACAGTACCACTGTCAGCTCTGCTCCCGCAAACCCGCCCCGTCGCGGGGACCTGTGCGCAGGGGCTGCCACTGTCCACAGCGTGAAAGCCCCGGGACATCACCGACCGTCTCTGCCGCACCCCGCGTTACCGGCCGCCCAGAACACAGAAGCCCAAGTGCTAACTTCCTACAACGACACACAGACAGATACGAATGCTCCCCCCTCCCTCCAGAAATGAAGAACAGGGCGGGTTTGAGAAGCATTTTCATCCACGCCTCACAGGTAGTGACTGACTCTCAATGGTAGACAGATTTCAAACACTTAACTAAGAATTATCTGTATCAACTCTAGTCTGAAAATGTTTCCCCATTCGCTCACGCAACAAGAGGCTGTGAAAGAGCCTGAGAGGAGGCACGCACAAATCTGATGTTCACACTCCTCGTCTTGCCCACTGGGATCTGACGCGGTGCGGATGGCATCTGGGATGGGGGTGGGGAGGGTGGGACAGGAGAAGGCCATGACTCGGATGTGGACGGGACACGACCTGAGAGACACAAAGCTCAAGGAAACCCAGGCCAGCTGGCTTCTCTGCGGGTGTACCCGTGAGACCAGAGAGGACGCAGAGGCTGGGCGTTTGCATGGACAACGCTATGCACCACGGACCTGGGCACGCCTGCAGCCGGCTCAGCGGAGACTACTGAGCATTCAGAAACTGCCCGTCGTAAGACAAAGAGATCAAACTGTAGTCTGCATTATTTCATGTTTGTAAAATCGAAACCAAGTTTCATAGTTGTTAACATGTGAGCTATTTCTCCAAATTAGGGTCAAGGAGAATAGATGCTTTAAAAGTTCCAAGTTATTACAACCGAGAGTGTACGACAGAGCAGAGCGTCAGGATACTGAGCATCTGAAAATTTCCAAATAATCTAAGGCAAAAGTTCTGATATTAGGTATCCACAGTAAATAACGTACGTGTCTTTCTTCTCAAATGTGCTATTTTAACATGAAGTAACAAGGGAATTATCAAGGCTTAGTGGGTCCTGGGAACGGGCCCCGGGGGACACACCTGAATGGGACCCACTGACGTCAGCAGGCTCTTCAGCTGGACGTCAGTCGTGGACGAGGAGAGCCCTTCGACAGACACGACGCAGGGCTGAGGCTTACACTCCACCACCCGGAGGTTCTGCTTGTTCGGCGTCAGGCGTCCCCGGCCCATCGCTCCGGCCACACCTCGGCCTCTCCCGTGCATGAGGACCTGGCAACAGCAAAAGTACAGTTTGACTCTGAAGCTTTGGATTTTTTCCCCGCAGCTACTAAGATTATATAAGTGGACAAACAACTCAGAATCCATTAAGATCGACCATGAGCTACGGGATTGGCTGTACGTTCACCCACCACCAGAGCAGACCTGAATGTCAAGGTGAAACTACCCCCACGAGTCTGGGCGGAGGCAAAGGAAGACACAGCAGCGTCAAGTGTGCATCTACTTCGGCCCAAGCACAGGAGGAGGAGGCACTTTCCACGCAACCACCGCTGGCGGATGCAGCGGCAGGATCAGAGGGGTTGAGAAACTTGTTTGGGTTTGGTCCTAACAACTCCAGAGCCCAAATTTCTCCCGGTGTACTCCAGGCCACATCCGTGGGGACTAGTGCCACCATGCGCCCACAAGCCACAATGTTATGGACCCGAGGCTCCTTGTGACTCTGTGCGGCTGGCACCCTGAGAACCTGAGCAGGTTCTGTAGCTGGGGCCACCTCCCATCTGCTGCACCATCCCGCACACCACAGCGCTTTCATACCGCACCGAAACCCAAGCACGACGGTGCCCGCACGCCCACTGCCACCTCAGTGATGAAGTCCCTGGTCTAAGGTAGGGTCCTGACCTCAGGAGATTTTTAAGTTGCCCACGGGTTCAAAACTACTCTTATGGGGTCTTTTCTAAAGAAGAGGAGACACTGAGGTAAGTACCACGTGCCAAGTGCTTTCTGTAAAACACAACTTGTCCTCTGCAGGACAGCAGTGAAGCGCAGGTGGCAAGTCAAAGTCAACGGCACCAGGGCTTCCAGACATCCTGACCCTAGTTCTGCCCCGGAGTCCGGGTACAAAGGGACAAAAATGGCCCCCTGTTCCATCCCAGAAAAGGGCAGAGAGGAAGGTAAGTAGAAATCATAAAGGAACTTCTTCACATGAACTGGGCACCACACAAAGGGAAAGGCCTACAAACTGACATTTTAACACTCCCAGAAGGCAACAAAACTCCACCTGGGAAATGAGTTTTTGAAAAGTGCAAAAGGACATTTCAAGAGAAGTCACAATGGAAAACATGCATCAAAATGTACATGTAAATCACATCAATAAGAAAAAGGATAAAAACCGTTATGATCATTTCAACAGATGCAGAAAAAGCATCTGACAAAGTACAACATCCATTCATGACTAAAAACCAACAAAATAGGTCTAGAGGGAACATACCTCAACATGACTAAGGTTATATATGAAAACCCACAGCCAACACCATACTCAAGGGGGAAAAGACTGAGAGCTTTTCCCCAAAGATCATGAACAAGAAAGGGATGTCCACTCTCACCACTTTTATTCTACACAGGACTAGAAGTCCTAGCCACAGCAATCGGACAAGATAAAGAAAGAAAAGGCATCCAAACTGGTAAGGAAGGAGTGAAACCCTCACACCTGCCACTGACATGATACCGTACACAGAAAACCGTAAAGACGGCACCAAATACCCACCAGAACTGATCAATGAATTCAGTAAGGTCGCAGGATAAAAAAATCAATGTACAGAAATCTGTTGCATTCCCATACATTAATAATGAAACAACATAAAGAGAAATTAAGAAAACAAGCCCATTTACAGTTACACCAAAAATAAAACGCCTGGGGATAAACCTAGGAGGGAAAGACCCGTACTCTGAAAACCACACAACACGAGTCAAAGAAACTGACAACGACACAGAGAGATGGAGAGACATTCTACGTTCATGGCCTGAAGAACAAATTATGTTAAAATGTCTACAATACCCCAAAGCAGTCTACACATTTAGTGCAATCCCTATCAAAATGCCAACAGCACCTTTCATAGAACTAGAACAATCCTAAACTTTGTCTGGAACCGCAAAAGACCCAAACAGGCAAAGTGACCCTGGAAAGGGAAAGCAAAGCTGGAAGCATCACAATTCCAGACGTCGAGTGGCACCTCAGAGCTGGGGTGATCAAGACAGTACACTCCTGGCACAAAACGGACATGCAGATTAAGGGAACAGGACAGAAAACCCCCAAATGACCCCAGAACCGCATGGCTAATTAATCTTTGATAAAGGAGGCAAAGAAGGGACGCCTGAGTGGCTCAGCCGGTCAAACCACTGCCTTCCGCTCGGGTCATGATCCCAGAGTCCTGGGATCGAGTCCCACATCGGGCTTCTTGCTCAGCAGGGAGCCTGCTTCTCTCTCTGCCTCTGCCTGCCTCTCTGCCTGCTTGTGCGCGCTCTCTCTCTCTCTCTCTCTGACAAATAAATAAATAAAATCTTTGAAAATAAAAAAAAAATAGAGGCGAGAATATGCAATGGGAAAAAGTCTCTTCAACACGTGGTCTTGGGAAAACAGAGCAGCCATGTGCAGAAGAATGAAACAGGACCACTTCTGACACCACACACAGAGATAAACTCAAAATGGATTAAGGACCTAAATGTGTGACCTAAAATCATAAAAATCGTACAAGAGAGCATAGGCAGTAATTCTCGAACGCTGGTCATAGCCATATTTTCCTAATGTGTCTCCTGAAGAAAGAGCAGCGAAAGCAAAGAGAATTCACTGGCGCCACAACAAAATAGAAAGCTCAGCAAGTTAAACACTGAAAAAGGCAGCCTGCGGAATGGGAGAAGACATCTGCAGATGACCTCTCTGATACCGGTCTAGTACCCAAAATACATAAAGAACTCATACCACTCAATACCCTAAAACCAAATAATCCAGTTAAAAATGGGCAGAAGACAGACATTTCTCCAAAGGAGATCTTTCCAGATGGCCAAAAGACACATGAAAAGGTGGCCCATGTCATGCCCCATCGGGGATAATGAAAACAATGGCGGGCGAGCACCTCCGCTGTCCGAACGGCTAAAATCAACAATACAGCAGCTGAACTGTGGAAGCAGCCCCGGTGTCCACTGGAAGACGAACGGAGGAAGAAGATGTGGCGTGTGCGTGTGCACGCGCGTGCATACATACGACATACACACACACGTGCAGTATTACTCAGCCACAAAAAGGATGAAATCTTGCCATTTGCAATGATGTGGATGAAGCCAGAGAGTGTTATTCTAAGCAAAGTCAGTCAAAAAGAAAAAAATACCATATGATTTCATTCTCATATGGAATTTAAAAAAAAAAATGTACAAGGAAAAAAAGAGGCAAACCGAGAAAGAGACTCTTAGCTCTCGAGAACAAACCGGTGGTTACCCGGCAGGGGTGAGGGGGAAGGCCAGTGGGCGGAGGGGCGAGATGGGCGAAGGGGGTTAGGAGCACACTTAGCACAGTGAGCACCGGGTAAGGTGTGCCATTTTGCTGAAAGTAACTACAGTGGCATCGGAGGGGAGTGGCAAGTAAAACTGGCTGGAAACCAGCAGTAAGGAAGTACTGTTATATCCTAGCATAGTAAGTTACAACATGAATAATACTATCCTTTACCAAATGCCTCCCTCATACACCAGGGATCATGCGTTTTATCTGCATCTTCTTATGAAATCCTCCCAAGAGCCCAGGTGAGCCAGGAAACATCGCCGTCCTCACTCCACAGGAGAGCAAAGGTTTCAGATGCGCATGGCTGTCGGGGGCAGGAGGCCTCCAATGTCTCTCCTCGTGTACGGGGGGGACAGCCCCTGACTGAAGCCAGTTTAGACCAGAGCAACCTTCAAAGACTGAAGATCTGATGTCTGTACCCCCGTCCTCTGTTGCAAAAAGGGAATAATTTTGTTTGCTCCTACATCAAGTGCTTATGATGTCGACAAACGCATTTAAATACTTCCAAGACCCAGAATGGCCTTCACAGTGGTACTATTACTACTGAGTATCAGTAGGAGGACGAGCAGAGAGGAAGAGCTAGGAGACTGCAGAGCTTTCCAGAAGAAACTCAAAGCAGGTGTCGCTGCCCCGATTCTTCCCTTGCGTAACTCCATCAGACGAGGGGCATCTGACTTATGCACCGAGAGGAGACTTTACTTTTGGGCAGAGAGGCGGAGACCCTGGGGAAGTCACAGAGACAGCTCCCCTACCAGCCGAGGGGAAGGGCGCCCTACCACAGGGACATAACGGGACAAAGCAGACACTCTTCTCCTAGGGGAGGTTTTAAAATCCGTGCGCAAAAGGAGAACAAGCACCTCTGCAGAAGGCATTCTGGATGCCCTCGTCTCTTGTCCCACAGTTGGTCAGGACCCCTTTAATCCTCAGAGCAAAGGAAGGAGAAAAGAACCAGAGTCAGGGTCACTTTCTTCAGACAGGGTCCTTCACCCCCAAAGGCCTCGCTTTCCCGCCTGTGAACTAGGGGAACAGCAAGGAAGTGGCTGAGCAAACGTTCCTCTGGCTCTTGGTCTGGGGAGCCCGGAGGGCCAGCGAGCAGGGGCGGAGGTGTGCCGGACCGGGGTCTGTGCACACAGCGTTGTCCCCAGCGCACGGGTCAGAGCTGGAGGAAACAGCCACACGCCCCGGTTGTGCGGCCTCTCCCTGACGTGTCCTATACAAAGTCAGGAGAGGGAAGTCCTTTTGTGAACACACAGCCTCCGAAGCCACAACAAGAGAGACGACCGTCCATTTAGAAGTTTACTCGAGCCCTCCTACTGCGCGCGGCCCTGCTATCTGAGAACTGTCCACACGCCGACCGCTACCCCCAGGAGCAGGAGGACAGCCCTGCGTCGGCGGCACTCAGCCCAGCTAACAGGCAGTACCTTCTTGGCCGGATGAACTCCCGGGATGCTCTTGATGCCCGGAGGGCCGGCCGAGTGCACGTGGGACCCCACTGGCGGGTGCTGGGGCTGCTGAAGGGCCCCCTTGGTCAGCGTCACCTTGCGGGCGGGCTGCTGTCTCACTTCTGGGGGCTGTGGGAGCCGCTGGGGCTGGCCCTCAGGGTGAAAAAAGCCGTCGCTCTCTCCTCCCTGCTGAAACAAGGCAGCGTGCTGGTCAGTACCCGCGCGGCCGGGCGGGCGGCCTTCCCCAGCCTCGGGGCCCACCGCGGTTAGCCCTCACCCGAGAGCAAACCGTTTCAAACAGGTGAAAAACCACCTGTCCTTTCACTAGAGCCACTAAGGAAATTTCTCATCTGATGTGCGTGGGTTTTCATCGTATTGGTGAAATTTAAACCACGGAGATCTTTAATTACTGTATCTACTCAAGAGATCTGCAGATTAAAGTACGGGCTGTTTCGCCAAGTGAAATCCTGCTGAACTTAGAAATACCTCGTACTCAACCCGCATTGCTGCTTTCAAGAGCGTTCTTGCTAAAATCTGACTGTTTGCGGGGCAGCGGTTTCAAACTTTTAATCCGCCTTGCAATGCAAATGGGACTGTCCTCGGGATGCAGCTGACTGGCTGTGGCCAGAGGGGGCCCTGGGGACACGGCATGGAGCCCTGGCCCTCTCCCGCACCCTGCCCCCCACTGAGACGCAAGTACCTCCGTCCCCAAGTCTGTGATTTCAGAGGTGGGACTCGCAGGCCCTATTACAAGCTTCACAAGGATCAGAACATTTTGAGTTTCACTGACAACCCCTTGTTTCCTGATCTTAAAAACGGCTGTATTTCCTAAAAAGAAAAGCACAGGCCCAAAATGGGATCACTTAGAGCTCCCAAACCGGGGCTTGCGGAAGAGCCAACCTCCCCAGAAACAGGAAGTTTTCCATCAGCACTCAAGAGCAGGCCATGGGCCCTATCCCATCTCCGCAGGTCCCCCAAGCTCCCCCTAACAGAGAGCCACCTGCCTGAACCCATCCTTTTCTTCTGCCACTAGCATTCGTGCTCGTCCCTGTTCTACAATGGTCTCCCGTTCTGCGCCTCCCGGGGGCCTCCAAGGCTTGGTGGCTGGGACGCCGCCGATTCACAAACCTTCAACGTGGTCTCACTGGGATTTTTGCCCCTGAGCACACTCAAGCTGCACTATTTACGTTCACGACACCGCCAGGCAGCACAGAACACCTCTCTGGACGGCGCCTGTGGGCTGCTTTCCGTGTAAAGGAGAGCAAGCGGGGCCAAGAAAGAAAGTTCGGACAGAGAAGCGCACGCTCTAGCCCTGCTAAACCACATGGCCTGAGCAGAGCCGGAGGCCGGGTGTGCCGGGAGGCCCCACTCCTCACCTGCACTGCGAGCCCAGCCCCTGCCTGCTCAGGCTCCAGTGTTTCCACAAGGGGCTGTGGGAATGAGCTCAGCAGTGGCCCCCGTACTCGGTGCCTCTCTCCCCTCCACACTGATCTGTTAGAGACAGTTGAGGGAACAGTGAAGGGACGGGGGCTGCAGCAGGACAGGTCTACGTAGGTAAGATTTGTGTAAAAAAACTGCCCGACGTAACTGGGACCCGAGAGAAACGGGACTAAAACTGTCACATGGCAGGGCTTCTGGCCGTGGCAGCCTGAAAAGGAGGGAAAATCTCTCCGACCCGTCCCCCCACCCCCCAACAGTAAGTACCTACGTGACAAAGCCACCCAGAACAAGCATTTCAGGTCTCCGCGAGTCGAAGTGAAAGGAGTCATGGACTCGCACCTACTCCTGGGACCTGGCCAGCAGGGCAGCCACAGGGGGTGGTGGGGTGGGGACTGCCCACCAAGCCATCAGCCGAGGGCCTTTCTGGAACAACAGCAGACACAGTGGGAAATCCCGGAGATCAAAGAACTCCTGAAGGCCTAGGTGAGTGCTCTCTGAGGGTGCCAGGGAGCCGGGGGACTCACGCAGGTAGGGCGCAGGTAGAAGGAGCAGGTAGGGCGCAGGTAGAAGGAGCAGCTGCGGTGGGCTCTGCGAGCCAGCGCCCCCCACTCACACACCACTGGACAGTGTCTTCCTGAATGACCGGCCGACCGACAAGCTATGCAGCAACAGGGTCAACCCCTGCGAAGCCAGACTAAGAAATGGAGACTAAAAAACTCACCAAAAAATATTCTGAACTGAATAAAAATACAACATCAAAACCGAGGGGATGCAAGTTAAGAGTTATGTCAGGAAACAAAAGAAATCTGAAATCAGTAACCTGAGCTTTTATCTCAAGAGGCTAGAGGAAAAAAGGAAATCAAACTCAAAATACGAGGAAAGAAATTATAAGATCGCAGCAAAAAGCAGTGACACAGGAAACAGAAAAGCAATAGACAAAAAAAAAAAAAAAAAAAAAAAATCAATGAAACCAAAAGTCGCATTTCTGAGATCAAAAAAACCAATGACCTCAGATAAACTGATCAAGAAAAAGGAAGAGAGGGCACAAATGACCAAAATCAGAAACAAGAAAGCAGGCACCACAGCACGCCCCACCGAAATGAAAAACGATGTCATGAACAACTTTATACCCACAAGTCAGGCCACCGGGGTGAAACGGACAGACTCCGAGAGAAATGTAAAACATCAAATCAAGAGCAAAGAGAAAATCTGAAAATAGAAGATACTGAATTGGTAATGGAAAACCTCCTGCAAAGAAAAACCACTGTGTCAGGAAGAAGACGGCCAATCTTAGAAGCCTCCTTCAGAGAAGAGAGGAGGAGGAATCTTCCCAGTCCCCCGTGACGCCGGCACGACCCGCACACAAGCGCCGAAGAGGCCGCGTTAGCACCCCCACAAATGCACGTCAAGACCCCCCGAAACAGCAGCAGCGTGACCCACCCACACAGAAAAGGGACCGCGCCCCACGCCCAAGCAGCAGACCCGAGGAACGCAAGGCTGGCTGGACACCAAAAACCCTAAGGACTCGAGGGGGCTAAGTCAGCTGCCTGGAGGCCCACCCGGCGAGGGGAAGTCTGCGGGTTCCGGAGCATCCGCTATCCCGCGAGCACCTACAGAAACCGGAGTCTAGACCCCATCATCCTGTGTTGCTCACCAAACCGAAATTTCTTCTACGTATCCAAGATACTAAGGTTGTCTACTGAATGGATCGATAAACAGCGATTCATACTTTTAAAAACAGAAGTTCTCAATGTGCTAGAAAAAAGACGGTAGTATCAGGACCTCGAGGCTACAGCCACTGCCCGTCAGCACACAGGTGTTCCCTCAACGCTGCTGTGACATGCAACGGGCCACCTTCCAAGGCAGCAGCACTGTCTGGTGCGTCAAATGGCTGCGCCGTGTGGCAGAGCAGATAACCCGCTGGTGCGTTCGGCCTAAAAGGGACGATGTCCAAGTATACGATGGACAAAGAGAACGAACATCGTCGTCGTTTATTTCTTTAGGAAGCCAAAACTGAACACGTGATCTACACAGTGAGCTTTAACTTAAAAAGAGAAGAGATTGCACCAAGGGAAGATACTCTAACTTGCCTTCCTTGAGGCAGACGATGTCAACGTGTACACCTATTTGGATGATAAAGTCAACACGGGCGACCTGATGGTTTCTGAACTGGGAACGGAACTGAGAGCCTAACATTCAGTCAAGAAACACTCCAAATAATAAAAATCCTCTTCGTTGTTATATCGGGCAAGAGACTGGTGGTAATTAACTCTGTGAAGAGGAGACGTTAATGTCAATAAAAACCCTAAAAAACAAAGTTATGAATTTTCATTTTCCTTTCAAGAAAAGTTTATTTTTTAAAGTAGGCTTGATCCCCAAAGTTTAGGAAAAACAGGTAGCACAAAAGCTTCTTCTTTCCTCATCTGTCAAGAGAAAAACTGAACTCTCGCTGCGCAGAGCGGAGCATGAAAGCTTGTGGCACCAGGAAAGCGTCCTAGTCATGGTGTAAAGGTTTCCTAAGAAATCACCTGGAAAGACCGGATGATGACACCGTTTACTTTGGATGTGCACCTCATCTCCTACCGCTCTGGCCCCAGGGCACGATCCCCGGGCCACGCGGTCTCTGTGGGTCCCCCCGCCCCACCTCCCGCCTGCTCTCTCCTCTCCCGGCCACGAAGCGCTCGCTGTTTCTGCAGAGCAGCGATCGCTACTGCTATTCAGTTCCCGTTTGCTGGCCGGAAGGGGAGCCCCACGGGAGGCCCCGGTCCCCACAGCATCGTCAGAAGAGAGAACAGAGCAGGTGGGTGACACTTGTTGAGGCAACAACGCTCACGGAAAGGAGGATGTCTCAGGCAGGGATTACGACTGCCTAGCTTTCAGGAAAAACCGTTCCCATCAGTGGTTTACTGGGAAGTGGGAGGCGGCGCTAGGGAAGCCCTGGAGTGGCTCACGGTCGAGGCCATTCTGTACACCTTCTATGGCTGTAAATGATGTCATAAACTCTGTAACAGAAATTTCCCAGGCGTTCCCAGGACCCCGAGCACCGCGAGTTTTGGTGTAATTAACACGTCCCCTGTCAGGAGGGTGGGGGAGCTAATGTTTCTGGACCGCCCGCAATGTGACAAGCAGTGTACATCAGTTTCCTTCGAGGTCAACACTATTATCTTCATTGTACAAATGAAAAACCTGATCCCCTTGGTCACGCGGTACCAGTGGGGACTTCCTGTTGTCTGCAGTCGGACGCTGCTTCCTAGGGGAGGACTGTAACTGAACAGAACCATTTTTAGCAAAAGTTGAAACAAAAAAGACTAGCCTTCCTGCAAGTGCATGAGGGGTCCCTATAACAACGTGTGTGTGTTGTTCTAAACCACACAGCTGAGCGCTCAGGGCTTACATAGAAGTGGTTCCGTTCTGTAAGAAAAATGGAGAGGTCTCCTTGTTTCAACGGCGAGAACTATTAGTCTCTCTCAAGTCAGCACAATGACAAGATAATTCTTACGTTCCAGAATCATTCCAGTCAGCACGTGGGAAGTCACCAGTGCGTTCATGACTGGGCTCCGGCAGGCACATGCCGCGAACACCCACGCGCACACGCAGACCCAGACAGCAGGCAAGGAGAGCGCGCCACGCACCTGGAACCTTCGGCAACTCCTACACACAGTCACAGCACCGACACAGATCCTGAAATCGTTAGGACTTCGCTATGCACATTTGAAAATAGCGCTGACCTCAAATTAGGAACCTCA